AGGCTTAAACTGGCCGACTTATGATTTGAATGCTATGCCAGATCCTGCATGACGAAAACCCTGGATATCATGCAACAACTGAACTTTTGCAAGACAAAAATTAATTTCTAAGATTGATTTCTCCAAAATATGTAAATTATTGTCTACAATTGTAATGGCACAATTATTATGAGAAAATTTGGATAAAAGAAAAAACCACGAATAATCGAGGCACTAGTGTAGCCTCCATTTCGCGGTACAAGCAGTAGTAAAGTAAGATTAGGCACACCTGGCTCCTGAGTTTTGGGGCTGGCTCCTAGATCTGAAAATATATAAGGTCTGTCTTAAGCTGTATAGTAGTTTTCTGTTACAATCTGCAATTATTCTAGAAAGAAAAAAAATGGGTTATTTAGATTTATTTCAAATTTTTTTTGTGATGTTTACAAGGTTGGTCAAATCAACCAAGTCTATACAGAGTTAGAATAGAGAAAGTAATAATAAAATATAAAATTTTTCAAAAACAATTTGATATTCTTTTAGGTGTTTTAATAGGTTATGCAATTGAAATTTGAAAACTGTAAGTTGAACAAAAATACTTTTAATTTTAACATAAAAATCACCTTGCACTCAGCCTAGTCAATTGTCTGACTCCGTACATTCAGAGAGAAGTAAAATCTTCAGCATAAATACTTAATTAAAAAAAATTGATTTTTTTATATGTAAAAGACTTGTTTACTAAAAGCTTCCAAATATTGCAAAGATACCTCTACCACATCAAAGTTTATAGTATAGATGCTTTCATGGTTACTTGGTGGTTACAAGGTTGGTCAAAATGTCTGAGCCTGGGAGAAAGAATGAAATTTCTAAATAGACACCCTTCTAGAAATTCAAAATTGTACAATATGTCAATGATATGAAATAAAAATGAGCCTTTTTTTTTATGAAAGAAAAGAGCAATAATGAACTATAAACGTCTCAAATTATCAGATAAGCATAAACAAACTAACAGAACTATATCTATGTCGTGATGTTTAAGCAGCTTAGCAACTTGTACTAATAATATATTGTGAAGCGAATGAAGCAGATGCATGTAAGTAGTAATTACTCCAATCGTGATCCCTATCTGCACAACCTATTTCAAGTTCTGTTTCAGTTTCATCATCTGATTCAGATATATAGTCATTGTCAGATTCCTGAGATTTGGACTCTAGATGTTGAGGTGTCTGTGTGTGGTTCAGAGAATTTGATTTGTCCTGATTGCAAATAGCTTTGCCTCTTTGTCATTTTTGAGCCTGTTGCATTGTTTAGTATGTGTGTTGCCAAATAGTGACCAGCTATGTTTTAAGCTTGTCAATGTGGGTGGCAGCTGAATAATACATGTGGCAATGGGTGACAGTGCCTTTGTACCCTAGAGTCCCTTCCCCCAAATAGCCACTGAGATATGATGAGCTGATGGCCACAAGCCATTAACTTTCCGTAGTTCATCTTTTGCTCAAAACTTCATTAAACTTGCCAGTACATTGGCTTCATCTTGATCAACGTGGTTTGTCATGGTCACTATAAAAACATATACAATGTTATTCTGCACTTCACTGCAGCTTAGATATAGATTGTTGTCAATGGTGTGGATTGGCTTCATGCAGAACTCTAATGGTTTTCTTATAAAACTGTGTAGACATTTCCTCCGTGTTTTTTTCAGAGATGAGTCTGGGAGTGGTATGATCACTTTTTTGAAGATTAGTAAAGAGCCTTGGTACATCGGACAAAAGGACATCATCACTTTAGATCTCGTTGATTGCAGATGCAACTGGATCGAGTATCTTCAAGCTGCTGACATTTCAAGCCCACAGTTTGTCATTATCAAACAAGATTGTTCTTATACTACTCTCCATGAACAGTTACTTCATAATACCAAGCTCTTTTAGGGACTCTTTTTATCCTCCAGTAAATTGTTGTTTGTGTGTAATGACCACTGCACCTCATCTCATTGTTCTTGGTTGATTGAGGGTTGTACATATCTGATTTTCACTAACCCATACTACCTTGTTTCTCTTGGCATACAGCACTATTCATTTTGCTTTTTGATATAGATTTGCCTAGTTCCAGCTTAATAATGTCTCAAAGAAAGAGACTGAGACCATGAGCTGTACATCCAACTAATTCCAAAATAGCTTTTGGATTTGTTGCATTGTCTGTTACTACAGCATACACTTTGTTTGGTCCAATTTGGCCAGTTTCATGGCTCACTGATCTTTTTAGATTGGGATGAAGGGGACTAAAGCCCAGGAGTATGTCCACTCACAATTTTTGACTTGGCTGTTTCCTTGAGAACCTTCTAATACAGGAGCAGTACATAGTGTTCCTACCTGTTTATGCCACTATCTGTGCTCTCATTTTCTGTCCCATGTATAACTACATTATTGCCCTAACCAAACCCTTTTTTTTTTTGCATGAACTGAAGTGCTTTGAAGACAAAGAGATACCCTGTTGAGAATAATACTTTAATTTTGAATGTCCTAGGGTCCAGTCTTTATATAAGACTGGTCTGTTCCACTCATTTTCACTGGAATCCAGTCTTCCAAATATTTCTAGCTCTGGATTCTACTCCAGCTCTTCTTGTCCCCACCTTTGAGGTGGTCTGATTGTTACCTTTAATACTTTCTGCTTACTTACCTATGTTATTTATTTAATCATAACTCCAGTGCCCACTTCCATTTCGGAGTGGGTATTCTGGCTTTTAATATTTCAGAGGTAAGTCTACCTGCTTTGAATTAAAAAATTTTTTTGAATCAAAATTAATTTCAAACATGTACTTACTTCTGAAGTACATTCCCGACCATCTCTCCACAATTGGGAAAGATGTGTTATGACACCATAATTGCAACAAAGAAATCTGGCTTTATAGTGGGAAAGAAGAATTTCTCCTAACACATGTACAATAAGTCATGTGTAAGGTGAGTGAGTACAGAATTTTGAATAAGCTAATACATACTCTGCACTGCAGAACTTTGGGTCACATGGTCATTGACAGCATGATGGTAACTCGGAGAGGAAAGGGCTTTTAATATTCCAGAGGTAAGTACCTGTTTGAAATTCCTTTTAATTCTATAAATATTAAATTTAGTGTACATCAATTACAAACAAATTTAATTTAAAATAGTTTTTCAAATAAAATTCCCCTTTTTTATTATTAAATTTTCCCAGTTGACACTGTCACAAAGTATTATATTCTTCTTTGGAAATTGTTGAAACAACAATAAAAATTACTGGAACCTTCCATATAGAAACTCAAAGAGGTATAAAGATGCAAAAAGTTTGTTTTAAAACTTATCTAAATTAGTATTTTTTTTTACTCTGGATTGCAAGTAATAAGATCTAGCTTACCATATTAATAGATCAGTATCGAATCATTTACAGGTACATTAAAGCTATTTAGTTCCATAATTTTAGGTGCATAATTTTCCTATAGGCCACATCTAAAAACAGAAAAAAGTAAAAAACTAAGTAATTACAAATAAATTTTGCTGTTTTTTGTTGCTTTTTTGTTTTTGTTTATTAGAAAGAGTCCTCAGCACCTGATGAAGAAGAAACCTGAGTTAATGAATTCTGGAGGAAATAATACTTATCGGATAAGGAAGAGAAAATGTGTTGACTTACATTCTAGAAATAAAGCTTCTACCCATCTAAGTGACAATATGTCTGAGTGTTCTTGTAAAAGTGATTCAGTTGTAAAAAAAGATGTCAGTACACAGGTAGAACCGTCTGCTTTTGATATTGTTACTGCAGATAAGTATGTTCAAGTTTCACCTGAAAAAGATCCCAGTGAAGGTCCTAATTGTTCAGCTAAGCAACAAAGGTGAGAATTTAAGTTATACTTGTTGAGTATGTTTAAAACAAGTTTATCATTGTGTACATATGTTTGATATAGTTTTCATCAAAACCATTACTTTCTTTCCAAGGAAAGAATGTGTAAGACTTTTCAGGGAATCTGAAGCACAGAGTTTCTTCTTGGCCTTCATACTTCACTAAGAAATGCACATCATCCAAGAATATTATAATATATAATGTAATAACTTGAATACTACAGTTCCATCCAACATCAGATTTTTGTTAGCCTATGAAAGTTGATGACAAAATAAAATCTAAAAAATTAAAACAAATGTACACACACACACACACATTAAAGGTAATATATATATATATATACCATCACAGAAAGTATAATAGTACTATACTTTAGGTTAAATTCATGGGTGCAAAGCTGAGAAAGATATTGGTCATTTGAAGCATTTATGGGATATGTTTTGAAATGCTCCCTTGTAATTTTAAGCATTTTGGAAGGTCAGTATGAAGTATTGGTATATAGAGGTCATTGAATATGTTTTTAATTGTTTAATCACTTCAATAGACTTGTCCTTGTGGCTTTGAAGTTGATACAATATGCATACCCATCTCTGTTATTAATTTGTTACTTAATTTATTTCAGTTATTGCATATACAGTAAATTTTAGGTTAATATTCAATAATATTGTTGTAGGATGATAATGTGGTAGACTTTTCTAAAGCTTTGATAACTATAGACATATATATACCCGCTTATCAAAGTTTATATTCAATTTATACCATAGTTACATGTATTCCAAGAAAACTAATAACACTGAAGAATAAGAGTTATTGAGAGACCTTTTAATTGCCCAAACATTCATTTAGGTGAATTTGTTTTCATATTTGAAACATACATGACCTTTGGGAAGAGTTGACATTAGAGGTACTGAGGGTTATGAAAACTGATGTCAAAATATACATTAGAAAGCCTAAAAATGGATGCATTTCCTATAAACTTCATACAATGTTGAACTTGTGATATCATATTTTATTTTGACAGATAATTCTGTATTCTTAATTACATATTAGAAGCACTTGTGAATTTCACAAATAGCTATTCATAAATATATGGTTGAAGCAGTGTCCTAAATATTAGAACATATTCCAAATCTAACCTATATAAAAACCAGTATGTGTCACGTCATGCTTGATTTTTTGAAATATGAGGAGTCATAAAAGCCGAAATGCATTTATCCAGATAGAATAGTTTGATTACTGATGGGGGTTCAAGAGGGCCGTGAGGGGTGTGTGCTGCGAAACCTTATAAGTG